AAATTGTTTTCACTGTGATGTTTCAGGAAGATATATTGGTCTGACTGGAACCGCGAGAATCCAAAGATTGAAGAGGCGGATCAAGATGGTGGACGCAGGAGGACTCTGATTCGTGCCCAGGTCGCATTGCCCAGTGCCTTGGCCGTTGATTTGTCCACCGATGAACTCTGCTGGGCGGACGCTGGAAAGGCACACATTGCGTGTCTCTCGCTGCAAGATGGCGCCTCGCAGAGGATCATCACAGCTGCTGCTCGGCCCTTCGGCCTGTCCATCACCGCTGGAAAGTACTTTTGGACTGACTGGGACACCAAGACCATCATGACAGCCAGCAAGAGGGATCCCAGCAGTGTGAAAGCCCTGAATGTGCCATTTGCGAAAACAGCCAGGCTCTATGGGGTGGCTGCTGTGCCAGCTGTTTGTCCCTCAGATGGTGAAGAATTTATTCGAATTCACCAATGTCAAGTACAATATGAGGTCGCTGAATAACAAAATACAATGAGACCCCAAGATGCGGACGCATTTGTTGCTAGAACTGTGTACCTCTGGATCTTATGTCAGAATATTTGCATGTCAAACCTTGATTTCCCATAGACTTCAATGGCAAATAATTTAATTGGTTCTCCAGTTCATTAAAAACTAGGGATAAATCCCCTAAAATCAAATGAAGTGTGCTTCTCTACTAAAGATACATAATAAATTATAACTATTCAGAATACAATAGATAAAACCACACATTATATGATCTTCTGACATCAAAAGGAATCAAACATTTGAACAAAAAGTATAAGTAATGCTATCCTGTACACAAATGATAGAAAATGCTAAAATTAGGCACAAAATAACCACTATTTGATAAGTAAGTTGAGTACCGTAAACATATAATGATATTCATTTTTAACCTCTGTGGATATTAATCGCTCAATTTTTCAAGAGATATTCAAATTCTGAAAAATTGAAACTTTTCACTTTCTATAAATACTGGAAAAGTGTCCGTGTGTCAAGATACTCTATATCCAGATGTCAGGCCGAATTTTTAAATGTTTCAATTGTCCCCGAGTCAAATCGTTTGCATGTTTCGGGTGTCTGCATTTTGGGGTCTCATTGTGCTCATATATATACCGCGAGTTTTGTGCAATGACAGAAAAATCCCTCACCAGGTATATAAAGAGTTTCTGGAAAATATATGTAGTATAATTTGATTGTTTTGAATCTGAATTTTTAATTATTTGAAAAATAATAATGCGAAAAAAAGCATTTAAGATTTTTAGTCATATGGCTGTTCGGCCTTCAGAAGGTGAAGCATATTATACCAACATATTTACATTTATATTTATTCCAACATACCAATTTCAACTACAAGATGAGGTCACTGAATGGCAAAATACTCATATAACAATATTTTGCGCAATTACAAAAAAATTCCATCACCACGAAAATAACAGGTTCTGGGCAAAATTGCAAGCATTTTATAAGTTTATGACTTTGAATAATGAGTTAATTTCATTATGAGACATGGCAATTTCGCCTCGTGAAACTAATTCAACCGAAGTGTGCTTCTGAAACATTTTGCAGGTGTCATATAAAATACGGAACATTGTTGATACGTGGATTTTTGCATGAATACCGTTGAATTCATTGGGTCGGACTTGTTCATCGAGGAATTATTTGTCTCGCAGATGTCACTCCGTGTACCTTTGAAAATGGAGGCTGTCAAGATTATCAGATGTGCATCCCAAGTTCCCGTGGTACCAGGAAATGCCACTGTGCTGATGAGCCACAAGATGGTGACCCACCATGTCGTCCAATTGTTGACTATTGAAAGCCAAGCTATTATTCTGGTCTTTTTTATATTTGGTGCCCTGTTGGTAACCCTGAAAAAATCCCTATGTAACTGCTTTTCTCACACACTCACTGCCGGTATTGTCAGCTTTGTTGTTGCTTCAGGATGGAGAAATAAAATCGACCGAATTTGGTAAAAGGATTTTAGCGAAACGATTTAAAAAAAATGGTTAGGAAATTATTTTAATCAGCATTCACAGACTGATGCAGTTTTTCGAATAAAGCAATATAGTCTGAGAAGCTCAGCTTTCATCAGATTGACCAAATATGAGTGATATGAGTTCATTATATTTGATAGCCGATTTTCAAGGATATTGTCATTGTAGTAGTATTTTTACAACAACAACAAACTATTGCCCACCTATACACCGTACATATAACATATTGCATGACTTTACACGCAGTAAACAACCATCCCATTAATTACCATATGCAATTTTTTCGCAAGAATTGGGGGAAAAAATAGGAGTACCTTTCATACTTGGATATGCAAATTTTTCCATCCTCCAAAATGATAGTGCATACCATTGTTGAATCAGTTGTTATAAAATTTCAGATCAAATACATAAAACAAAGCAGGTGAAATAAAATTTAATTCAAGTAGTTTTAGACAGTAAATTGAAAATTCGAACTCACAACTCCTGAAATGTTGACAACAAACGTTATTAAAAATTGAGGCGTGAGTCCTGCCCCAGCAAAAAAAAATTGCCAAATTTTGCGCATCAAGTTGAGCCGTTCGACTTACCTGAGGTATCATATAAAATACTAATGAACTTGAGTGCATATTGTATCAGCTTCAATGTGATTATGAGACTGGGTGAAACTATTATTGAATAGTCACAGAAACACGAAGGTGTTTGAATGAAGTTTAAAATGTTTATAATGCTCAGCAGCTGAAGATAAGACAAATCATAAAATTTTTCTCAAATTTCGAATCAAAATACCTGTCATCCCTTCAACTTGCTTCGAATTCCGACAAGCAAACGAATCAGAAAAAAGAAAACGATGTGTGCAGAAAATATTCGTTGCTGGGCAAGTTTTTTCCTAAAGAAACATTGAAGGTCATCCGTCATATAATAAAAATTTTTCTCATCTTAACTTCTTAAATCTCCTTGGTCATTCCTACTGGAAGGAAATGTCCACAAATCTAGCGAAACCCGCAAAATGCCCAGCACCGCAAATCGGAAGAACATTTGCAAAGAGGCATACTTCTTCCGGAACGAGCGACATCTCGGTTATCACCGCTACAACTGCAGACGGCGACGATGTTGATGACGATGAACAGGGGTCAGCTTGGCTGTTCGACCCTGACGCCGATGCTGACGATTGTAGCTGCGTTTCGAATAGAATTCACGCTTCTCTCATTTCAAAAAGTTGCCCACCAGCTAAAAACTTTCATTGCAAATCCGAACAGCCAGATGGAAGAGTTACTGATCTTGACAAGTGTCGAGTTCCTGGACCTTCTTCTGAGGAGGAAGAAGGTAGAGTTTTGCATAATGACAGTGGTGTATTTTAATTGAAACCCCGAGCTTTGGATATGATTGTTTCACCTGCTATTGCGTCTGAAATTTAACGATTTTCACAAGATTACATTGCTCATGATCTGAAATATTATGACGCATTATTGCTCCATTAAAGACTTAGAATTTCATTTTTTAAATGTTAACTTTAGTATATTCTGTGTTTTATGATGCGGACGATATATTTTCGAAGCTCAAGTAGAAAATGGCTTTGTATACTCGAATGGTCCCAGTTTCAACGCAATTGATTCTTATCTGTACAGTACGTAATGTAAACCTTAAAGTTTCTCTTCAAGTAAAATACTGTACAGTATTGATAATAAGTGAATAAATAAATGTAAAAATTTATGGAATAACCCCAAACCAGACAATGCCGCAATTCTCCAGGATTGAACACTGATAAAATTCGGATGAGAAGTCATAATATTTCTTTCTGCATTCGTTTCTGGATGCATGTACAAAACAGAACCCCCCTGTGAAGAAGAATGTCATGCCTCTGAGAAAGAACCCGTGGAACCTCCTCCTCCATGTACTCCCAGATCTGCAACTGAGGAGTGTTTTGCGAAACTGCCTTGCGACGAAGAAATCGACGATTTCCTCGAGATGCTCGTGCATCAATATTTGTCATTGTAAAGTTACAATTCATTGTCGAATTAACTTCAGTAAAAGTTTACACGCAAAAAAATAATAAGTAACTCGTCGTCAATTTTCCGTTGCCAATTTTCAGGTACACTTTTTCCATGAAAGCGACTCGAGCCGCTTGGGAGACTTGCCTCGAACCAGAACCGATTGCAGAAACGATTTCTCCTTCAGGAAAAGTTTGCACAGTAAAACACGAAGAAGCAGTG